CTAATCCAAACAATCCTATTTTTCCAAAAATAACAATCATATGGGGAAATTCACCCGGAACAGGATTCATGATTATGCGTAAAATAATTCCAGCAAATAATTGTGATATGAAAAAATTCACGAAACAACTATGATAACGTTCATCAGTTATTATATACACATAAATCGAAAAGTTTCAATCTCAAGCATAACACTGAAAACAAACAAAATATCAACTAGAAAAATTGAATCAATCACCAATTTGCATTCAATCAATTAACAAGATGTATAAAAAATTGATTGTAACCCTAGAGAGAAGAGTACGAGTAGTACCTTGTCGCCAAGAGAAAAAAGAATTTTCACGTTGAACAAAATCTCACAACTTTGGTGAGATTTTCACACATATTGATCTCTTTGTAATTTTGGTAAAAAGTCTCCAAGAATCCTTTTTTTTCTCAAAATCTCATAAAATCTTTCTAACTTGAATAACATGTAACTTATAGAGATTCTTGGAAAGTTTTAATTGAATACCTTAAAACTTTTGGAGACTTTTAAAAAGTCTTAAAAAGTATTAATTGAATACATGTAGACTTTTTGAGAGTCTCACAAAGTTTCAATTGAATACCCCTAAATTTTCAAAGTCTTAAAATGTCCCTAAAAGTCCTAATTGAATACACCCCCCTAAAGTGTGCGCCTTCTTATAATCTCTGCATTTCTGCATAAACTTCACACAAACATAACATAAACATAACATAAGAATTCAATTTAGAGATATGGCTGCTTATGCAGCTCTCCTTTCTCTGACTCATACAATACATCAGATCCAAGATCATCCTCGCCCTCCAATTTCTCTCCACACTAAACACCTTCAGTCCCTTACACAAAATCTCACATTCTTGCAGGACTTCCTCGAGAACTACTCCATCAACGGTGGTGCCATCCAAGATTTCGAGCGCTTGGAGGGTCGTATAGCGGAGGCATCCTACGAAGCAGAAGACATAATCGAATCCCATGTGGTCGATCAGATTCAAGCTGCAAATGCCAAAAGTGTTGATATTGAAAACAAATCCAGTTTCTTTAGATTCTTTCGAGGTCTATGCAAACCAACGATCCGTGAGGCAAATATCCGTCCGGTCGACATGTATCGTCAAGGTCTGGAGAAAGTGACGCAAGACTTGGATTTGATCAAGAAAGACGTGGAGGAGATCATGAAGCAGACAGGAGGCCAGCTGGAGAGGAACTATTCGATGCCAGCTGGCGGGCCGAGACCCCCTTCCGTGCCCCACGGCTCCATGGTGGGTCTCGATGATGCCTTGCTTGAAGCCATGGACAGGCTGCTCGGACAACACTCGGGTCGGCAGATCTTCCCCATTGTCGGCATGGGTGGCATTGGTAAGACCATTCTTGCTAGAAATTTGTATTCACATCCAACTGTCGTGGAACATTTTTATCTTCGCGGCTGGGCTACGATTTCCCAACAATACGATTCGAAAGAAATTCTCCTGGAAGTCCTTGTTTGTCTGAAAGTCATAGGGAGCAGGGAAATGTTGAGCAAAATGAAGGAATATGAAATAGGAGAAATATTATACAAAACATTATGTGGTCAAAAGTATTTGATTGTGATGGACGACGTATGGAGCGTCCGTGCGTGGGACAAGGTCAAGTTTTTCTTTCCCGATAATAATAATGGGAGTAGGATAGTTATAACTACTCGGCTGTCCGACTTGGCTTTCGAGCTGAGCGGCTCTCGTGGCCTTGAGATGGGATTTCTAGACGAGGATAACAGCTGGAACTTGTTCCGGAAAAGTGTCTTTGGAGAAAAAGACTGCCCTATGGAATTGGAAGAAATCGGGAAGAAGATTACGAAAAACTGCAAAGGCCTTCCTTTGTCGATTGTGGTAACCGGAGGACTACTCGCCATGTCGGTCCAAACGCGCAAACACTGGCAATACATTGCGGAAAATCTAAATTCGGTAGTGAATTTAAATGACAACGAACGTTGCTTGAGAATATTACGTTTGAGCTATAACCACTTGCCGGTCCATCTAAAGCCGTGTTTTATTTACATGGGAATATTCCCTGAGGACCATCTGGTCAGCGCCTCAACGCTCGTCAAGCTATGGGTAGCCGAAGGTTTTTTGAAACCGATCAGAGATAAAACACTCGAGGCCGCCGCTGAGGAGTACTTAAAGGATCTTGTCCAGAGAAATCTTATTCTAGTTCAGGAGCTGGGGCACCATGGAGACGTAAAGCGTTTCAGGATCCATGATCTGTTGAGGGACCTATGCATGAAAGAAGCCGAAAAGGACAGATTCTTTTGTGTTGCAGCAACAGATAGACCCAACGCCGAGCAAATCTGGCGCACCCAACGGCGCATAGGAATTCAGAGACGAGAAGGGAGCAGCAAACACATTCCCCGCGCAGTTCGTAACGCCATTCGATGTGCAACGCTTGCTCGTTCGTTGATTTGTAGTGCGGACAAATTACGGCGTTGTCCTTCCCGATTGTTGAAGGTGTTCCACCGCATCGAAGTTTTCATTCCGGAATACACATATTCCCTGAAAGACATCTTCCGTCCGGTCAACTCGCGACACATTGTGGCCGCGGCTCGGTTATCGAGACCCGACCGGTTCCCTTCTTCATTCTACCACCTCTGGAATTTGCAAACTTTGATAATAGACCTCGAAGTTCGGAATGTCTCTTCTGCTCCACCAGTGATCGACATATGGAGGATGCCTCGACTGAGGCACGTGAATCTGTTCACGTTCCATCTTCCGGAACCCCCGACCGGCCGTGACGATGATTCGACTGTTCTGTGGGACCTACAGACGCTCAAGACCGTGTCGACTTCCAAGTGGGGTGAGGAGGCGGTCAGGAGAATCCCCAACGTCAAGAAGCTGAATCTGATGCTTCCATACACGAAAGCCTCGTCGCGTGATGATTACCGTCTCGACAATCTCAGCCGGCTGCGTGTAGTGGAATCACTTTGTTGCAACTTTTACTGCAGGAAAGAGCCGTTCATAAGACGAGGCCACGACCTGGCTCTCAGCCTCGTCTTCCCACATTCGCTCAGGAAGTTGACGTTAGTACGCGCCACCCTCCCCTGGGAAGACTTGGCGGCCAAGGTCGGCTATCTTCCACATCTCGAGGTGCTCAAGCTGAAATTTCGGTCCTGCAAAGGGCTCAAGTGGGAAACGGTCCAAGGCCAGTTTTGCAGCCTCAAGGTTTTGGAGATCCATTTGTGGCCTGAATTGGAACAGTGGACGATGGAAGATTGGGACCACTTTCCGTGCCTTGAGCGCCTTGTTCTCGATGATTTTCGAGACTTGAAGGCGATTCCATCGGAAATTGGAGAGATACCAACGCTGAAATGGATACGGTTGATCAACTGCAACGACTCGCTTGTTGTTTCGGTTAAGGAAATGGTAGAGGTGCAAGAGGAGATGGGGAATGAGGGGCTTGCTGTGAGCGTTGCGCTGTATGAGAAGAACCAATTGGTGGAGAGCTTGGCTGCTCCTCCTAAATTTCAAGTTGAAGTCTGGTGATATAGTTGTTCAGCTCAATTTATTTTATTTTTTATTTTTAGTAGTGAGGTAATTGAAATAATAAATTGTCTCAGGTGTCGTTTGTCAAGTTTCTGTAATTACAGCTTCATATTGTTTGGAGGGGTGGGGATGCTAGTTAAGGATGTCATGGTCAAGTATTGTGATTTTTTCGTGGAAGTTTGAAAGTTTTTTTTTTTTTTTTTTTTTTTNNNNTCGGTAAATAAATTTTATAGATTAAAACTGATTTTACATCGACCGTCTCGCGGAAGTTTGAAAGTTTGCTACCTAAGCAAATACAGTATACTTGAATTGAGTAAAATTATGAAAAAGTCGTTTTCTTGAACGGGCATCTTTGGGGACAAATAATCAATTCGCTTTTTCTCGTGTCTTAGGACATCTTCGACCGTGAGCATGAATTGTATTATATGTCAGTATGTGGTAAATTGATGATTTTCATTCGCGTGAAAGAAGTAGATGTTCGAACTCAAAAAAAATCCATTAGTCTATTTCTACAACTTAGTATCTTCATATTATCAATTTATGAGGCTCGAGCTCGGCTCGATAAGAAAATACAATAGCTCGATCTCGACTTGAAATCAAATGCCCGAGTTCGGCTCGAGTTCGGCTCGAAAACTTTTAAGTGACATTACCATAAAGCACTTGTGTTATACTATTTAAATAGATGTATAAGAGGTATTTTAGTAATTTAATATATATCGAGTCGCTCGACAATACAAATTATGGGCTCTAGCTCGACCCGCTCGAGCTTTGATTCGAGCACTGCTCGACTCGTTTGAAGTACTAAATTCTCACTCCTTCGACTCCCTTTGAAAACGCTAAGCCTCACTTTGCGCCATATTTTAATAGGAGACGAGCAATATTGACAAACATTAAAATTGCATTTATAATTTGGGGAAATGCTAAGGTTTCGTTACGAAATCATTTCAGCGAGATTTGTAACCCGTTAGATCATCATCTAATCGTCAGAGATAATGATTCAACGGTTACAAATTCCGACGGAATGGTTCCGTAACGAGACCGTAGCATCTTCCTATAATTTTCTCGTGCATTGTGGTGGGCATCCCGAACATGTGTATTGTGATCGTTCAACATTCTAACACCATACTCTCCCAAATTTACTATCAATAGATATCCACACGAGTTCTCCTCTCAGCCTCACCAAATATAGCCCGTGGAAACTCCCCCTTTCCCTCTTCCTAACCTAACTGCCTTAACGACCAATTCAAATTTCTAAAAAAAAAAATTAAAAAATAATAAAAAAAAAATTATGCCAAACCAACAAAAACAAACATGAAAACAAAGTGAACCAAATCTAGTTGAACGGATAATTCATAATTGTTTCCCTTCACTCTCGTATTTGCATTGCTCACCATCCTCTTCCATTAATGCGATTCCTCTTGAATTCTCACAACTACAAGAATAATAACCCTTCAACAAGTGTTTAACAACATCTCCATGGAGGCAGCAGACAAAGACAAACCCCTCCCAGAAATATCCCCTTCTAAGGATGATTCGAAAACCGACAATCACGACGATGACAAAATTACCTCCAAAGACAGCCACCCGGAAAAACCCGACGACCCCACGAATCAAGATTCATCCAAAAAGCATGAAGAAACTCAGGCCCCATCTCCCCACAAACCACCTTCGGATAACGAGCAGCCCAAAGCCGAAGCTGATGACGATCTGAAGATCAAAGATCCGATAGAAAAAACAGACGACGAGAACCCGAATCCCGAAGCAAAAGAAGAAAAGGAAGAAGGAAAGGAAGGAAAGGAAGAAGAATCTTCCCCTCCCCCACCCCCTCTCGATCCCAAAAAACTCTTTGAAGAAATCGATGAATACATCATCACTTTATCTGAATCTTCCAAAGACAACAAAGAAACTGAACCAACCCCTCCTCCGGACGTCCCCCACGCAGTCCACCAATTCGCAACCCTCGTCGAAGCCAGGGTCCGAGACTACGACTCGGTCGAGAGCCCCGTGAGGTGGGCCCGTCTCACAGAGGAAGACTCTTCCTCATTCCTCGAGGTAGTCAACCGTCTCTCCTCCCTCTCGAACGCGCTTTCCCTTTTCTTGCATGAGAAGAAATACGCTGATGCCCTCAACCACGCCGGGGACATCCTCGAGCGCGTCATGTCGTATGTAGAGGAAGAATTCAAATTGCTTCTACAAAATTACGATTTCAACCACCACAATGAGGCGAAGCCCAAGCAGCCGCCTTCTCTACCGGTGGAGGAAGTAGAGCCGGAGCAGGACTCGGGAGTCGTACCAGATTCAAATCTGGACCCGATCGAGGAAAAAGAGAACACCTTTTTCCCCGGATATCCAGAAGAGACCCTATCTCATCTAATCCAACTTTCGGAGGCAATGATTGGTGGCGGGCATGAAGCCGAGTGTCGGCAGGCGTACCTTGTGGCAAGGCGCAACGCATTGGAGGACGGACTCCACAAGCTCGGGATGGAAAAGTACAGCATAGATGAGGTCCAGAAGATGCAATGGGAGATGCTCGAGAGGGAGATTGCTACTTGGATCTCCACCCTCAAGCACTGCTCGGTCGTCCATTTTCCCAGCGAGAAGAATATCTCATCCACAATCTTCTCTCGCCACCCTCTTCTGTCTGAGGCCCTGTTCTGCGCCCTGTCGCAGAGTATAATAAACCAGCTCCTCAACTTTGCAGGGGCTGTCGCCCTGACCAAACGCGCGACCGAGAAGCTTTTCAAGTTTCTCGACATGTATGAGGCCTTAAGGGACACCCTACCCGCAGTCGAAAGCCTATTTCCAGAAGAGTCGGCCGACGAGATCCGAACAGAGGGGTCAGTGATAAGAAACCGGCTCGGTGAGGCCTCGATCTCGATCTTCATCGAGCTGGAGGGCTCCATCAAGTCAGACTCGGGGAAGACCCCTGTCCCAGGTGGGGCCGTCCACCCGCTGACCCGATACACGATGAACTACCTCAAGTACGCCTGTGAGTACCGCGAGACGTTGGAACAGGTGTTCCGCGAGCACCAGAAGATCGAACGGGCGGACTCGTCCAACTTCAGTTACGACCCGTCTCAGGCCTCGCAAACCCAGGCGAGCAACGAGGCCTCGGAGAGGTCCCCGTTCCAGAACCAGATGGCCAAAGTGATGGAGCTCCTGGACGGGAACCTGGAGAGCAAGTCGAGGCTGTACAAGGACCACGCGCTGGGGTCGATCTTCATGATGAACAACGGGCGGTACATACTGCAGAAGGTGCGGGGGTCGGTGGAGATCAACGGGGTTTTGGGGGACACGTGGTGCAGGAGGAGGTCTTCGGACCTGAGGCAGTACCACAAGGTGTACCAGAGGGAGACTTGGGGGAGGCTTCTTGGTTGGCTGCATCCGGACGGGCTGACGTCAAACGGCAAGGTGGCGAAGCCGGTGCTCAAGGAAAGGTTCAAGAGCTTCAATGCAATGTTCGACGAGATACAGCGGGCACAAGGGGGATGGGTTGTGAGCGACGAGCAGCTGAGGTCGGAGCTGAGGGTGTCGATATCGAACATGGTGGTGCCGGCGTACAGGTCGTTCCTCGGGAGGTATAGCCAGGTGTTCACAGCCGGGAGGCAGACAGAGAAGTACGTCAAGTACCAGGCCGAGGACATTGAGAATATCGTGGACGAGCTGTTTAATGGGAATGCAGCTCCCGTGGGGAAGAGGAAAACGTGATGATGATATGTGATGTGATCAGGAAATTAAAGACTTTTTTTTTTTTAATTTATTTTTGTCTTGTTTTGTTTTGTGTTATGTTGTGCTGTGTTAAATTTGTATAGT